CATCTGTGTAAATACAGTATAAATATTATTTCCATATTTTAACCATATATATTCCTTTGCTCTTATTGCCTGCATTTCATGACTTCCTTCCTTTTGTCTCATCATCAGTGATGTTAGATCCACATTTGGATGTGGAAGAATCCAAAAAGGTGCAGGTGGATATATCACTCTTGATGTACATTTATATGTGCTTAGGCCAATTCTCAGGAATTCTTTCTTCAACTCCCCCCCTCCAAAGCTCTTATACTTATTCATTCCCTGCTCCCAACATGTCTCTAATACCCTTTTTCGTGTTGTTGCTCATGCATTGTATTCATTTTTAATAAAAAGAGAAAGCCATAAAGAATTATTATGCGCTGCAGCTGTTTTGAGCTGCAAATTATAAATTCACATTCATTTGAAATTGATCTATGACATTCTATGTCATGTGATTCATCTAAATTTAAATGTTGCACACAAGTCCACACATACATCACATATAATGATCACATGCCTTAGAACTGTAAACATTTTAAAGTGGTATTTTTGACCTTGTTTAATCTAACAGTAAGCGGGAATGGTTTCTTTTGAAAGTCATTTGCTCTTTTTGACACCTGTGTTGCTGTAACCTGTTTCATGAAACCTTAGCTTTCAGTGAAGATTCAAGTAGGACTTTTCTGTAAATGATATAAGATTAATTTCATTTGGTTTGCTAATCATCCACATTGGACGTTTGCAGCTACATTTGGCAGTTGGACAACGTATTTAAATATGTATTTCACTAGAACTTCAACCCCTGGCTTATGTTTTAGTATTTTTTTAATTCATGTATTTATATTATTACTTTCAATGCACTTCTGTGATTTTAGACAGCAGCGCGAACAGGACTCTTATTTTGGTCTGGTGGTGCAACGTCATAAGGCTGCGCCGCGCTTCTGCGTTTGTTGTGATTCGGCTGAAGAAAGGTTCGTGTTTATGCATTTAAAGTATTTCAATCGATGCAAACTCTTCTATTTTGTAGTTTTTACAAGTAGTGTAAGTCAATTCATTATTATTGAATATAACATTGTTATGCTTCATCTAACATTAATAAACGTTATTATACGTTGTATACGAAACTAAATTGAATTGATGTAACGTTAGATAACACTTGAATCAATTGCTTCACAAAATGAATCAGTGATTCGAGTCCGCGCGCTGACAAGTGAGGGCACTTGCTAATCAAAGCAGTGTAAACCCTGTTGAAAAAAACAGCATATGCTGGTTAGGTATGTTTTGACGCTGGGATGCTGGTCCTTTGCTGGTTTAAGCTGGTCCTTTGCTGGTTTAAGCTGGTCCTTTGCTGGTTTAAGCTGGTCCTTTGCTGGTTTAAGCTGGTCCTTTGCTGGTTTAAGCTGGTCCTTTGCTGGTTTAAGCTGGTCCTTTGCTGGTTTAAGCTGGTCCTTTGCTGGTTTAAGCTGGTCCTTTTGCTGGTTTAAGCTGGTCCTTTGCTGGTTTAAGATGGTCCTTTGCTGGTTTAAGATGGTCCTTTGCTGGTTTATGCTGGTCCTTTTGCTGGTTTATGCTGGTCCTTTGCTGGTTTATGCTGGTCCTTTTGCTGGTTTATGCTGGTCCTTTTGCTGGTTTATGCTGGTCCTTTTGCTGGTTTAAGCTGGTCCTTTGCTGGTTTATGCTGGTCCTTTGCTGGTTTATGCTGGTCCTTTGCCAGCACATGACCAGCATAAACCAACAAAAGGACCAGCATAAACCAGCATCCCAGCGTCAAAACTTACCTAACCAGCATATGCTGTTTTTTTCAACCGGGAATGCTTGGAAATAAGTCCGTTTTTTTTTCTCTGAATAAATTATGAAGCGTGCATATTCTTTCCTGATGTTTTTTGTTGCCCAACATCCACTTCAGACTCTTGGGAGAACCATTAAAAAGCTACAGATCATCTCAAATTCTAAGGCTTTTTTACTAGCATGACCGCTTGCATAAATTGTGTTTTTATATATATTGCTGAGCTAATTATTAATTTAACTCATTATTTAAAATGTTTAAAGTTGTCATCTTCACTGCATTATCTTTACTGCTATTAATATAATAATAACAGTGAAAACCCTGTTGACTCATTTACAGTTGCTGTATGAATTAAAACAATATTATAAAACTTTACTTCTAGTAAGCAGGGTAAATTCCTGACTTTAAACAAATAACCATTTCAATGTTTAGGACGTACAGAAAGATGTCATAGATATAAAAATGCTGATTAGTTAGGAAATGCGTTCTCCGTAAAATCAAATGATTTTCTGTTAAAGTGAGGGAAAAGCATTCCAGTCATTAATATAGATCAGTGGTATGTAATGAGTGTAATTTATTAAATTAAGAAATCTAGAAATCATTACACAGAAATTGTTATGATTTTGTTTTCTCCAAATTATTTTTATCTTAAACAGGACACAGAAATACTCCTGGTGAAGCAGCTGTGATCCACGTGAAACTATTATAAAAATGGCGTTTATTAAAGAGGAGAGTGAAGACGTGAAAATTGAAGAAACATTCAGAGTCAAACATGAAGATACTGAGGAACAAACAGGTTGGTTTTCATTCTCAAAACTCATTCATTTTATCCTTATGCTTACCCTAAAATGTCCAGCTTTACAGAAGTGAAGAATGGCATTTGGGTATCCTAATTAAAGCTATTTAATTTGATATGGAGCTGGTCGCCTCATGTGAACAGACATGTTGAGGTCACATGAGCAGACAAATACTAGGCTAATGCTGTGCTGCATTCACACCATATTGTAATTACCGTAATTTCGAGATGACACATGTGACGTTCTACTCGGAGCTGTTCACGTTTTGGACTCGGAATTATGCTTTTGAAAACAGAGCCGTCAAGCCGGACACTTTCTGCTCCCGTTAGTGTCGCTCACGCTGTGTTTTCATACTCTTTCACAGATGAAGTGATTAAATGCAATATTTGTCAAATACACAGATGTTTCAGAAACATTTTCATGAGCAAAAGAAACACTTTTTATATACTGCTTAATACAGCGCCATCTGTCCAAGAATAAAGTTCAACGTAAGTATATACTATTTAAATACTAATAAAGTGGTATATATATGCTTTCATCAGTGTTTTATGATAAACGTGACTCAATATAACGTTGCGACTACAGTAAAAAAGCTTTTACTGTTCTAAAAACACAGATTTGTGAGCAGTATTGGAATTGAAGATGTTAGAAACACGCATCATTGTTGTCATATGGTGAATTTGGCCAATCGTGAAACAGCTGTGTCGTCATCAGCGCTCCTGCAGTCGCTCTGAAAAGGCTGCGCCAGCTGAGTCAGCCGGCTGCTGTTGAAACGCTATCGCGGTATTTTGATGCCACACGTGACAGTGACGTGGCGCCGGTTCAAGTCGGACTAAATTTCTAACCAGCATGCACTGCTTCAAGTCAGCCGCCAATCGGTCTGCGCAGCATTGCATGAAGTCGAACGCACCTAGAGCCTGCAGTGGTCAGGTGGTACAGCGGTCACGTAGTACAAGTCGTAGCTCTCAGAAAACTCCCAGTTCACAAGTTGTAATTACGAGTTCTACGAGGACGTGAACGCTTTTTACAGGTTGGGATCTCGTAATTTCGGGAATTCCGATATGGCGTGAACGCACCTCTGCCTTCAACCTGAGAAGATCCAATTTCCCTCCCAACACTGCCCATTGTGAATCTCTTTTTTGTCTGACACGCCCATTTCAGGTCTTGGAGTCTCTTGTAATGAGCTGATGACCTGAATCAGGTGTGTTTGATCAAAGTCCCGTTCAAGGAAAGTCTGTTCACTCGGCGGCCATATTTGCAATGCTTCCAGGCAGCTATTTTGGGCATCCAAGATCAAGTCCTGTCTGTTTGAATGGGGGAATCCTGAAACCTCAAAAACTGCTTGCTGAGCTTACAATTAAGTAACATATTTCAAACCGGCAACAAAATCTGAAATGAACTGCCCCACAAATGTTGTTTCTTATGCTCAAATAGTGTTAAAAAAAAGCTTATTTTTCAGGCTAGACTAGCCAATGTGCATGTGCAGTCATAAGCAGGAGTGTCTGGTTGCTTGGGGTTGCACCGACTAGTCGACTTCAATGCTCTGCCATGATGCTTTATGCTTGACGTCGACTAGTCGCTGGTCCTATAGAGGGTGCAACAGGATAAGAAATCTTTGAAGGACTTCCACATTTACGCTCCGTTTCCTAAAAGTGCAAATGACAAATAAATGCATACTCTGAAAGCGCTCCACAAGAAGTGAGATTATATTACTGGATGCTCGAAATTGAACGGGAGAATGCACGTTTTACACCGCTTATTGTACAGGTAAGTTAATTGTCGTTCTAATCTAATGCGCTGCTGCACTGTAACGCACACACATAGGGTACAGACAGTAGCACAGTAGACAGTAGCTCGCACAGAATCATTCAGCATGGAAATGTATTGTCAACACTGTTCTGTGATTTCTCAATAAAATAGCTTAGAAACTGAAAAGTTCAAGCATATATTTCTTAAAGGGGTCATATGATGCTTTTTTTAAAGATCATTATTT